AAAAAACGAGCGAAGAGAAAAAAATAATAAAATAAAATAAAAACGACAGACAGACAGGAATGGGACATAGACATTCAGGAGACATAGGAGAAACAGAGCCCGAGAGAGAGGAGAGAGGAGAGAGAGAGAGAGAGAGAGAGAGAGAGAGAGAGAGAGAGAGAGAGAGAGAGAGAGAGAGAGAGAGAGAGAGAGGAGAGAGAGAAGAGAGACAGGGAGAGACAGAGAGAGAGAAAGAAAAGAAGAAAGAGAGAGAGAAAGAAATAAAGAAAAGATACACAGAATAAAAGACATAGTATAAAAAGGACACGGACATGTCACTGATACAACTAAAACAAACACAAAAGGTCATGTTATCGACAAGTTCACAACAGAAACACAATCCCTCCAGAAGAGAGGTCACAGCACTCCCAAGGTCGACGTAGAGGAGAGGATGCCAAAGAGGAAGGAGGAGGGAGGAGGGAGGGAGGGAAGGGAGGGAAAGGGATAGGAGGGAGAGAAGGGAGGGAGGGAGGGATTGGAGAGAGATGGAGGGAGAAGGAGGAGAGACGGGGAGGGAGGGAGGGAAAAGGATAGGAGGGAGGAGAAAAGGGAGGGGGGAGGGTAGGGTTGGAGAGAGAGAGAAAGAAAGAAGAGAAAAGAGAGAGAAAAATCCCTACGTTACAAGATACATATATGTTCCTATCCAGCGAGAAAGAACGAGCAGGTACGAGAAAACACGAGAAATCACGAGAAAGACCGTACCAGAACGAGAAAGCGCGGGAAAATACGAGACCCCAACACCAAAACCCCCAAAAGACGAAAACAACAACACCAAACACGTAAAATTTAGAAAACAAACCAACGCGACAATAAACCAACAACAAAAATAGCAAAACGAGCGATAAAAGAGGCATAAAAGGGGTGGAAAACGAGCGTGGGCGGCGGGACAATAACGAGGGTGGTGGTGTGTGATTCCGCGCAATTGGTCTAGTTAAAGAGCGGCCTTCGTGGGGTGTGGGTATGTGCGTGCGTGTGTCTGTTTAGTCGGGAGGGATTGCGTCATGGCTCCGCGTGTGTGGATTGGGGGGGGTACATGGTCTGGGGGTGGATGGGGTGGGGGAGAGGTTACAGTGTCTGGGGGGGTAGTATGGTCTGTGGGGGGGATGGGGTGGGGAGGAGAGTTACAGGTAGGGGGAGGGTCTGTGGGGGATGGGTGGGGTAGGGTTGGGAGGGGGGGGGATGGGGGGTTGTTACAGGTAGGGGGGGAGGTGTGTGGGGTGGAGTGTTTGTGTAAGGGTGGAGAGGGTGAGGGTAGGTGCGCGTGTGTGTGTGGTGTGTGTGGATGTGTGTGTATCGCGTGTTTGTGTGTGCGTGTGTCTGTGTTATCTCCAACGATAACATGAAATGTATACTAACACTAACAAAACAAAATGAAAATCAAGACAAAGTAACAAAAAAACAAACAAAAAAAAAACAGCGCGTACAAACAACAAATAATCAAAACACATACTATCAACAGGTATTGTTTGGTTTTTACTCTCATCTGTTCATTTTTTCAATAATTTTGTTTTTGTTTTTATGTATTTTTGCAATTTCATTTTTCCAGTCAGTTAGTCTTCATGTTTTATAAATTTACCTTATTTTTTTAGTCTTTAATAACAAGAGCAGCAAATAAAAAGACCCTTAATAATACTACAAATAATGATGATGAAAACTATTAGTAACAATGATAATTATAGTGATGATTATAATAAAGATAGTATTAATGATGAGGATGATAACAGTGGAGATGATGATAATAAAAATAATAACGGAATTAACCATGATGATAATAACAGTGATGATGATAATGATGATAATAATGATGATGATGATAATAATAAGAACAATAATGATAATAATAATAAGAAAGGAGAAACAAAAACTTAAGTCCAACAAAATATATTTATTTGTAACAAACTTCCATTTATAATGTCTTTTCTTATCAATCATAATACAGGAATAAATACCCTAGGAGAAGGTATATCACACCCAATCCAGTTACGAAATACCTAAGTCTACCACATGTTTTTAAAAAGAAAAACCCATTTTCTATGATGAATCGCACCGTAACCAGTTTCGGATCAACATAAAAAAAATTATCAGCTGGCATTTTGTACAAATTTTTATTACGGTTTTCTAGAAACATCTTGTGTAACCGTGCTGTCAGACCAATATACATATATACACTGTTATGTATGAGTGTGTACGTATATACACATGCACACACAAAGAGAAGCCCCTACACAATCACACATACACACACGCAAATCTCTCTCTCTCTCTCCTTCTCTCTCTCCTCTCTCTCTCTCTCTCTCTCTCTCTCTCTCTCTCTCTCTCTCTCTCTCTCTCTCTCTCTCTCTCTCTCTCTCTCTCTCTCTCTCTTTCTCTTCTCTCTTCTCCTCTCTCTCTCTCTCTCTCTCTCTCTCTCTCTCTCTCTCTCTCTCTCTCCCTCTCTCTCCTTCCCTCCCTCTCTCCTCTCTCCTCTCTCTCTCTTTCTCTCTCTTCTCTCTCTCTCTCTCTCTTCTCTCTCTCTCCTCTCTCTCTCTCTCTCTCCTCTCTCTCTCTCTCTCTCTCTCTCCTCTTTCTCTTTCTCTCTCTCTCCCTCTTTCCTCTCTCTCTCTCTCTCTCTCTCTCTCCTCTCTCTCTCTCTCTCTCTCTCTCTCTCTCTCTCTCTCTCTCTCCTCTCTCTCTCTCTCTCTCCCTCCCTCCCTCCTCCCTCTCTCACTCCCTCTCCTCCCCTCCCTCCCTCCCTCCCTCCCCCCCCCTCTCTCTCTCTCCCTCCCTTCTCCCACACCCCACCCCCACCCACCCTACCCCGCCCACCCACCACCACCCTCCCTCACGCCCTCAACCCACGGCAACTCTCATGGTCTCCCTGACGAAGGCGGTGCAGAAGAGAACGCCCACGATGGACACGCCCCAGTAGAACCAGTACAGCCCGGGCGTGGTGAGGGCGGGTCTGCATGGGCGTGAAGAGCTGGAGGGCGAGGATGCCGTAGATGCTGCCTCCTGTTAGGCCTATGCTGGCGGCCCTCTAAGGGGGATGGGGGGTGGGGGTGGAGTGGATGGGGTGGGAGAAGGGGAGTGGAGAGGTGGAGGGGGGATGGAGGGAATGGGAGAGGGGGGTGAGGGGATGGTGGGAGTGAGTTGGAGGGGTGGGAGAAGAGGGGGTGAGGGGGGTGGAGTGGAGGGATGGGAGAAGGGGATGGGGGTGGAGTGGAGGTGGGAGAGGGGGGGTGAGGGAGATGGAGTGGAGGGGTGGCGGAGGGGGATGAGGGTGAAGTTTGAGGGGTGGGATAGGAGGGATGAGGGGGGAGATAGGGAGAGTCGGTTAATAAAATTGATAATAATAGGGATGATGATGATAATAAAAGTGATAGTAATAGTAAAATTATATTGGAACTGATGATGATGATAAGTAATGATAGTTATTATGATGATAATGATAAAAAAATATGATAATAGTGATAATGGTGATAATAGCTAAAATAATGCTGCTCTAATAACAACGAAAAAAAATTATGGTGATAATGAAGATAACAATAACAACAGGGATAAAAATATGATAATATTGAAAATAATGATAATGATGATAACAGTGATAACAATAATAATAACAATAATCATATCAACAGCAATGATAACAATGATAAAGATAACTAACACGCAGAGAGCGCATACCTCCGTCAAGTCTTAAAGATCTGTTAATACCTATTTCACTAATAAAACATAACCTTCTTGGTGAAAGTATAAATACACATACACACATAAACAAAACAGAAACAAATAAATATGGGAAAGAAAAACAAAACAAAACAAACTAACAAACACATAGAAAACGAAAAATCTCCAAATAAAGCAAGCCAACAGAAAACGAAAATTGAAAGAAAACGGGAAACGACGATGACGGACTAACTTAGCTGAAAAGGCAGGAATGTTATCGTATGACACACAGGTTCCCAAGAAGCCTGATTAATTTATCTGGAACTTTCTTAAACAACCTCGATTAATTCAGGAAACGAAAATGTAACTTAATATGTGTACAAAATTAAGAAATGTGTGTGTATGACAAGAGATAGTGATACAGCGTTTAAATATTATTTACGATATCTATAACATAAACTCGCTCTGTATACTTGTTTGTTTGTCGGTTTGATTGTTGTTTCCTCTATTTTGTTCTTCGGAAAATAGGTTGACTAAAAGTAAAAGAATGGATAAAAGGATAGAGAGAGAGAGAGAGAAAGAGTCAGAAAGTCACACACACACACACACACACACACACACAAACAAACAAACAAACAAACACACATAAACACACGTTCATGGAAACAGTTAGGCAAAACTACCGACAAAGGTAAAGGAAAAAACAAAAAAAGATATCAGAAAATATCATAACCCCCCCTTTCTCAACCCATCCTTGACTCACCTGGATTCTGATACTCTTTAAGAAATACTCCCCCCTCTCCTCCCCCCCCCCTCTTTGACTCACCTGGCTCTGATACTCGTCGGAAAAATAACCCCCCCCCCCTCCAACCAAAATACTCCCCCCTCCCTCCCCCCACCCCTTCTGACTCACCTGGCTCTAATACTCTTAAAAGATATACTCCCACCCTCCTCCCCCTCCTCCCCTCCGCCCCTTGACTCACCTGGGTTCTGATACTCTTTAAAAACTACTCACCCCTCCTTCCCCCTCCTCTCCACCACCCCACCCCTCCTGACTCACCTGGCTCTGATACTCATCGGAAAATACCCCCCCCCTCCCCTCCAACCAAAATACTCACCCCCTTCCTCCCCTCCTCCCCACCCCACCCCTTTGACTCATCTGGGTTCTGATACTCGTCGGAAAATACCCCCCTCCAACCAAAATACTCACCCCTCCCTCCCCCTCCTCCCCCACCCCTTCTGACTCACCTGGGCTCTGATACTCGTCGGAAAATACTCACCCCTTCCTTCCCCCCCCTCCCCCCACCCCTTCTGACTCACCTGGCCTCTAATACTCTTTAAAAACTACTCACCTCTCCCACCCCCTCCTCCCCCACCCCACCCCTTCTGACTCACACCTGGGCTCTGATACTCATCGGAAAATACCCCCCCCCCCAACCAAAATACTCACCCCTCCCTCCCCCTCCTCCCCCACCCTCCCCCTTCTGACTCACCTGGCTCTGATACTCTTTAAAAAATACTCCCCCCTCCCTCCCCCTCTCCCCCCCACCCCTTTGACTCACCTGGGCTCTGATACCCCCCCCCTCCAACCAAAATACTCACCCCTCCCTCCCCCCTCCTCCCTCCCACCTCCCACCCCTTCTGACTCACCTGGCTCTGATACTCTTTAAAAAATACCCCCCCTCCAACCAAAATACTCACCCCCTCCCTCCCCTCCCCCCCCACCCCCCCCACCCCTTCTGACTCACCTGGGCTCTGATACTCGTCGGAAATACTCAGCGTGAGGACAAAGGGATGGACCGACGCCGAAACTCGAGGTAAAACATGTAGATCATAAGACACAGGAGAGGAATCCAGCCCCAGTTATCCTCCAGGGGTTTCTGAGGGAGGGAAGGGAGGGAGGGAAAGGGAGGGAGAGGGTGGGAAGGGAGGGAGGGAGGGTGGAGGATGGAAGGGAAGGTGGAAGGGGGAAGGTGGGAGGGTAGAGGGAAGGGAGGGTGGAAGTGGGAAGGTGGGAGGAGGGGAGGGTGGGATGGAGTAGGGTGGGAGGGGAGGGGGAAGGAAGGTGGGAAGGTGGAGGGGAGTAAGGGGAAGGGAAGGTGAAGGTAGCGGGAGGAAAGGTTTGAAGGGATGGAAGAAAGGATGGTGGGAAGGAGGAGGAGGGAAGGGAGGGAGGGGAGAGAAGGAAGAAGGCTAGGTGGATAGGAGAGAGGATAGGGAAGAGAGAAAGGGAGGGTGGGAAGAGAGGGAGAGAAGGGAAGGTAAGTTGGGACGACAGGGAATGAGGGAGGGAAGGAGAGAAAGAGAGGAAGTTAGATCAGTGGGTTTGTTGCAGTGGTTGCTATGGTGATGGTGGGGATGATAGTGATGGTGAGTGTGGTGATGATGATGAGGAGGAGGAGGAGGATAAAGAGGATAAAGATGATGATAATGACAATGATGACGATGATGATAAGGATAAGAATATGGAGATGAGAAACAATGATGGTGATTGTGATAGTAAAGAGGTTGGAGATAAGGAGAATGGTAATGAGAGATTATGGTAAAGGTAGGAGATAACGGAAATTATGATAATGGTGATGGTGGAGACAGCGATGACAAAAAACAACAGTAATACCAATAATATGTTTTTAAATAATAACGGTAATGATAAAAATAATATAAATCATAATATCAAAATAGCAACAGACTTCAGAATAACAGTAATGATGACAATGCCATTCGTCGCAACAACATCAACAACAAAATCGAAGGCAACAACACTTGGAGCAGCAACAGCCGACCAGACGCGACGCCCCAATCGGCTCAATCTCTTCCACGAAGCCCTCACCCCACCAGGAAGGAGCTGGGGAGGGGAGGGAGAGGGGAGGGAGGGGAATACCAACCCGGGATCCTGTCGTTCGGCGAAGTAGACGTAGGAGCCCATGACGTAGAGGCAGACGGCCATGACAGACAGCGAGACGACGAGGGGAGCCCGACGCCCCGCCCGGTCCAGCAGCAGACTGGCCACCACGTTGCCCGCCATCTGCACCAGGAAGACGAGGATGGACGACAGCTCCTCGTCCAGGCTAGAACCGGCGTCTTGGAAGATCCTCGTCGTGTTGATCATGAAGGCGCTGAAGCCGCAGAAGTTCTGGATGAGGAAGAGCCCCTGGATGACCAACAGGGCGCGGAGGACGTCCCGCTGGAGGAGCAGCTTGTAGATCGGCTGCCCCGTCTTGTCCTGGTTGTAAGCCCTCAGGACCTCCATCTCCTCCTCGACGTCGGCGCTCGGCCCTCGAAGCCTCCTGAGGACCCTCCTCGCCTCGGACTCCCTCCCGCTGACCGCCAGGAACGTCGGGCTCTCGGGGACGAAGGACACCGAGGCGCAGCACGCGGCGAACACCCCGATGGCCACCGCGGGGATCTCGAACCAGCGGAGGCACAGCCCGAGGCTCACGCTTGCCAGGAGGCCGACGCTGACCATGACGTTCGGGATCATGGCCAGGAACCCCCTGACGTTCGTGTCCGGGAGCTCCACGGCGTAAACGTTCCCCGTGACAGACATCATGCCCGAGAACACGCCGCTGAGGAACCTGACAAGGAGGAGGAGAAACGTTTTGTCCTTTTAGTCGATGAAACGTGGAGACGAAACACAGACGCTATAAAACTAATAAATGTATAAATGAATAATCCATAAGGATTAGAGAGAGAAAAAAAATGTTCATTTGCTAGCTCCCTCTCACTCCCCTTTCTCCACCCCCGTCTCACTCCCCTCTCACCTCCCCCTCACTTCCCTCTCACTCCCTTCTCACTCCCCTCCACTTCCCCTCCGCCACTCCCCTTCACCTCCTCTCACGTCCCCTCCTCCCACTCCGCTCTCCACTCCCTCTCACGCCTCACACCTCCTTCCACTCCCCTCTCACCTCCCTCTCACTCCCCTTCACCTCCCTCTCACTCACCTCTCACCTCCCTTCTCACTCCCCTCTCTCCACCCCCGTCTCTACTCCCCTCCCACCCTCCCCTCACCTCCCTCTCACCTCTCTCTTCACTCCCCGTATCGACCTTCCCCTCTCACCATCCCTCCACCTTCCTCCAATTCCCTCTCACTGCCCTTCCCACTTCCCTCCACTCCTCTCACCTTCCCTCTTCACTCTCCCACCTCCCTCCCACCTCCCCTGCCACCCCCCCTCGTGCGCCTCTCCACCCCGCACACCCCGTCATCAACCCCCTCACCTCCTTCTTCCCCCTACCCCCTCCCACTCCTGTCTCACCTCCCCTCTCACCCTCACCTTCCCCCTCACTCCCTTCCCACTCCCCTCTACTCCCCTCGCCCAATCCTCCCTTCCTCTCCCCCTCATCCCTCCCACCTCCCTCTCACTCCCCTCTCACCCTCCCTCCCACCTCCCCCACCTCACTCCCCCCCACTCCCCTCCCACCTCCTCCTCCACTCCCCTCCAGCCCTCTCTCACTCCCCTCTCACTCCCTTCCCACCTCCCCTCCCCCCCTCCACTATCCCCACCTCCCCCTTACACTCCCCTCTCACCTCCCGCAGCAGCACCCAGGTTCCATACGCGTGAGGGCCACCCACCGCCCCCCCATGCCTCACCTCCTCTCACCCCCTCTCACTCCCCACGTCACCCTCTCACCTCCCCCCACTCCCCACTCCTTCACCTCCCCTCACTCCCTCCCACCCCTCCACTTCCCTCTCCACTCCCGCCAGCAGCACTCCCAGGTTTCACCTGCGAGGCCACCACACCCCACCTCCCTCCACACTCCCTCCCCACCTCCTACGACTCCACCTGCGCCCTCCCTCCCGTCCACCCTCTCACCTCCCCCTCACTCCCTTCCCACTCCCTTCTGCACTTCCCCCTCCCCTCCCCCTCTCACCTCCCTCCCCCTCCTCCTCCCCTCCCACTCCTTTCCCACTCCCTCTCCCTCCCTCTCACTCCCCTCTCACTCCCCTCTCTCACCTCCCTCCCCTCCCCTCTCACCTCTCCCTCACTCCCCCCCTCACTCCCCTCTCACCTTCCTTCCCACTCCCTCCCACCTCCCTCCCCACCCCCCCTCTTCACACCTCCCCTCTCACTCCCTTCCCACTCCCTCTCACCTCCCCGCCAGCAGCATCCCAGGGTTCACCGCGAGGCCACCCAACCCCCACCTCCCCTCACACCCTCCCTCCCACCTTCCTCTCACTCCCTCCACACCTCCCTCCCACCACCTCTCACCTCCTCCCACTCCCCTCTCACCTCCCCCTCACTCCCCTCCACCTCCCTCTCACCTCCCCTCTCACCTCCCCGCCAGCAGCATCCAGGTTCGCGCGCGAGGGCACCAAACCCACCACCCTCCCACCTCCCCCTCCTCCCCTCCACACTCCCCTCCCACCTCCCTTCACCACCCCTCATCACCTCCCACCTCCTCCACCTCCCTCTCACCTTCCCCTCTCACCTCCCCTCTCACCTCCCGCCAGCATCCCCAGGGTTCGCCGCCGAGGGCCACCAACCTCCCACCTCCCTCACACCTCCCTCTCACCTCCCTCTCACTCCCCCTTCCACCTCCCTCTCACCTCCCTCTCACTCCCCTCTCACCTCCCTTTCACTCCCTTCCCACCCTCCCCTCACTTCCCTCTCACTCCCCTCACTCCCTCTCACTCCCCTGCCACTCCCTCCACCCTCCCCTCTCACACTTCCCCTCTCACCTCCCGGCCAGCAGCATCCCAGGGTTCGCCGCGAGGCCACCAACCCCCACTCCCTCACACCTCCCCTCTCACTCCCCTTTCCCACCTCCCTCCCACTTTCCTCCCACCTCCCTCACACCTCCCTCCACCTCCCCCTCACTCCCTCACCTCCCCTCCCTCCCGCCAGCAGCATCCCAGGGTTCGCGCGAGGGCCACCAACCCCCACCTCCTCTCACCTCCCTCCACCTCCCTCCCACCTCCTCCCACCTCCTCCCACCTCCCCCTCCTTCCCTCTCACCTCCCCTCTCCCCCCCAGCAGCATCCCAGGGTTCACCGCGAGGGCCACCAACCCCCACCTCCCTCACACCTCCCTCCCACCTTCCTCTCACTCCCCTCCCACCTCCCTCTCTCACTCCCCCACTCCCCTCTCACCTCCCCCTCACTCCCCTCCCACCTCCCCTTCTCACCCTCCCTCTCCTCCCGCCAGCAGCATCCAGGGTTCACCGCGAGGGCACCCCCTCCCAACCTCCCTCTCACCTCCCTCCACCTCCCTCCCACCTCCTCCTCCACCTCCCCTCCCAACTCCCCCTCTTCCCCCTCCACCTTCCCCTCTCACCTCCCCGCCAGCAGCATCCCAGGGTTCACCGCGAGGGCCACCAACCCCCACCTCCCTCCACCTCCCTCCCACCTTCCTCTCACTCCCTTCCCACCTCCCTCCTCTCACACCTCAGCCAGCAGCATCCAGGGTTCACCGCGAGGGCACCAACCCCCACCTCCCTCACACCTCCTCCCACCTTCCTCTCACTCCCCTCCCACCTCCCTCCACACCCTCTCACCTCCCCCTCCTTCCCCTCTCACCTCCCCTCTCACCTCCCCGCCAGCAGCTCCCAGGGCTTCACCGCGAGCCACCAACCCCCACCTCCCTCACACCTCCCTCCCACCTTCCCTCACGCCCCTCCCACCTCCCTCCCACCACCCTCTCACCTCCCTCCCCTCCCCTTCCCCTCACTCCCTCCACCTCCTCTCACCTCCCCTCTCACCTCCCCGCCGCAGCACCCCAGGGATTCACCGCGAGGGGCCACAACCCCCACCTCTCCTCACACCTCCCTCCCACCTTCCTCTCACCTCCCCTCCCACCTCCCTCCCACCACCCCCTTCACCTCCCTCCACTCCCCTCTCCCTCCCCTCACTCCCCTCCACTCTCCCGCTCTCACCTCCTCTTCACCTCCCCGCCAGCAAGCATCCCAGGGTCGCGGCGAGGCCCACCAACCCCGCAATCCTCCCTTCAACTCCCATCTCCCTCTCCACCCCTCTCCCACCTCCCTCCACTCCCTCCCACTCCTCCCTCCCACCTCCCACTCCCACTCCCTCTCCCACCTCCCTCACCTTCCCTCTCACCTCCCCTCCCATCTCCCCTCTCCAGCTCTCCCCTCACTCCCCTCCCACCCGCCCTCCACACTCCCCCTCTCTACCTCCCCGCCAGCAGCATCCCAGGGTTCACGCGAGGCCACCAACCCCCACCTCCCTTCTCACTTCCCTCCCACCTCCCTCCCACCTCCCTCCCACCTCCTCCCACCTCCCTCCCACCTCCCTCCCACCCACCTCCCACCTCCCTCCCACCTTCCCTCCCACCCTCCCTCACTCTCCCTCTCACCTTCCCTCCCCACTCCCCTCTCACCTCCCCCTCACTCCCTCCCACCTCCCCTCTCACCTCCCCGCCAGCAGCATCCCAGGGTTCGCGCGAGGGGTCACCAACCACCACTCACCTCCCCTCTACCCCTCTCCTCCCACCTCCCTCCCACCATCCCTCCCACCTCCTCCACCTCCTCCCACCCCCGCTCCACCTCCCTCCACCTCCCTCTCTCCACCTCCTCCCGCCACCCTCACTCTCCCCCTCTCACCTCCCTCCCTACTCCCTCTCACCTCCCCCTCACTCCCCTCCCACCTCCCCCCTCCTCACCTCCCCTCTCACCTCCCCGCAGCAGCATCCCAGGTTCGCCGCGAGGGCACCAACCCCCACCTCCCTCTCAACCTCCCTCCCAGCCTCCCTCCCACCTCCCTCCCACCTCCCTCCCACCTCCCTCCCCTCCCTCCCACCTCCTCCCACCTCCCTTCCCACCTCCCCCACCTCCCTCCCACCTCCCTCCCACCTTCCCTCACTCTCCCCTCTCACCTCCCTCCCACTCCCCTCTCACCCCCCCTCACCTCCCCTCCACCTCCCCTCTCACCTCCCCTCTCACCTCCCCGCAGCAGCATCCCAGGGTTCGCCGCGAGGGCCCAACCCCCACCTCCCTCTCACCTCCTCCCTCCCTACCTCCCTCCACCTCCCTCCCACCTCCCTCCCACCTCCCACCTCCCTCCCACCTCCCTCCCACCTCCCCACCTCCCTCCACCTCCACCCTCCCCCTCACCTCCCTCTCACCTCCCTCCCACTCCCCTCTCACCCCCCCTCACTCCCCTCCCACCTCCCTCTCACTCCCCCTCTCACCTCCCCCGCCAGCAACATCCCAGGGTTCACCGCGAGGGCCACCAACCCCCAGGCGCCCGTGCAGGGAAGGATCAGCCTCATCAGGGGACCTCTTTCTCCGGCCGATCTGAGCGCCCAGCCTCCGCCACGTCCCGACGAGTCCTCGGCAGATAGGATTGCTTCCTGTGGTCCGAGGGAGGGGAGGGAGGGAGGGAAAGGGAGGGAAGATGGAGGGTTTTAGGAGAGGGAGGAAGGGATGAGAGAAGGAGGGTTAGGAGGAGAGGAAAGGAAGGGAGGGATGAGAGGAGGGAGAAGAGAAGGAGGGAAGGAGAGGAGGAAGAGGAGGAGAGGGAGAAGAGGAGGGTTAGGAGGAGAGGAAAGGAGATGAGAGAAGGAGGAGGGAGGGTTTTAGGAGAGGGAAGAGGGGAAGGGAAGGAAGAGAGAAGATTATGAGGAGAGGAGGGAGGGAGGGATAACAGAAGGAGAGAGGAGGGTTTTAGGGAGGGAAGAGGAGGATTAGGAGGAGGGAGGGAGGGAGGGAAGGGAAGAAAAGAGAGGAAGGGAGTGAGGAAAAGAAGAAAGAGGGAGGGTTAGGAGGAGAGGAGGAGGGAGTAGGTAGGAGGAAAGTTATTATGGAGGATGTGAGGTTAGGAGGGAAGGAGGGATTAGGACGAAGAGAAGGAAGAGGGGAAGAAGGAGTAGGAGCAGGAGGAGAGGAAGAGGGAGGGAGGGAAGGGTTTGGGAGGGAAAAGTTCTTAGATTAGAGAGTGTGTGGTGTGTGAGTTTGTGTGTGTGTTTGTGTGTTACGTTACGATATTTCATTATTTCACTTCTATTGCAATATATCATCATCATCACCACCATATACCAGTCGACAACATCACTTCCTCTGCAAGATCACCATCACCAACAAAATCAATCACAACACTATCACCAACACCATCCCTATCATCCTTATAACCCTCACACTTTCTTCTCCCTCTTTCCTTTCCCTCCCTCACTCCCCATCACCATCTCTCCCTCTTTCCCTCTCTCCCTTCTCATTCCCATCACCAACTTCTCTCCCTCACTCCCCATCACCAACACTCTCCTTTTCCCTCTCCCCCTATTTCCCCTTTCTCCCTCAATCCCCTCTCTCCCTCACCCCATCACCAACATCTCTCCCTTTTTCCCCTCTCCCCCTATTTCCCTTTCTCCTCAATCCTCTCTTCCCTCACTCCCTCAATATCTCTCCCTCTTTCCCGTCTCTCCCTATTTCCCTTCTCTCCCTCACTTCCTATCACCAACATCTCTCCCTCCTTCCCCTCTCTCCCTCACCCCCCATCACCAACATATCTCCCTCATTGCCCTCTCTCCCTCACTCCCTATCACCAACGTCTCTCCCTCTTTCCCCTCTCTCCCTCACTCCCCATCACCAACATCTCTCCCTTTTTCCTCTCTCCCCCTATTTCCCCTCTCTCCCTCAATCCTCTCTCTCCCTCACTCCCCATCACCAACATCTCTCCTTTTTTCCCCTCTCCCCCTATTTCCCCTCTCTCCCTCAATCCTCTTCCTCCCTCACTCCCCATCACCAACATCTCTCCTTTTTTCCCCTCTCCCCCTTTCCCTCTCTCCCTCAAACTCCTCTCTCCCTCACTCCCCATCACCGATATCTCTCCCTCTTTCCCGTCTCTCCCTATTTCCCTTCTCTCCCTCACTTCCTATCACCAACATCTCTCCTCCTTCCCTCTCTCCCTCACCCCCATCACCAATATCTCTCCCTCACTCCCCATCCCTACTCCCCTATTCCCCTCTTCCCTCACTCCTATCACCAACATCTCTCCCTCTTTCCCCTCTCTCCCTCACTCCCTATCACCAACATCTCTCCCATCCTCCCCTCTCCCTCCCCTCTCTCCCTCACTCCCCATCACCAACATCTCTCAATCAAATTCAATATTATCATATCATATCTTCCTGCCAAGATTCGAGGTCGAAAGAAGTGCCAAAAACCGTCGAATTGTCCCGCCGGAGATCCACAACGGCTGCGTTCGGATACGCCGCTGCCATTCCGAGGACGACGAAGCCGAGGCCGATGCCGAACACCATCAGAGCCTGAAGTGGGGGGTCAGGGTGGGGGGAGGGGTAAGGAGTGAGAGGGAGCGTTATGATAATGGTTGAAAAGGATCATGGTTATAATGATGATGGGAATAATAATGGTGATGATAATGGTAATAATAATTATGATGGTGATATTAATGATGGTAATAATAATTATGGTAATGATGATAGCGATGATAATGATGATGATTGTGATAATGGTAATAATGGTAAAAATGCCATTGATATTGATAATTATGATAAATACCGATAGTACTGTTACTAGCGGTAATGTTCGTAATGGTATTGGTAATGGTCGTAATGATAATGATCATAATAATAGTGAAAACGTAACGAATATGATGAAAACGGGAAAGGAAAGGTTAAAGTGCGTTCGTGCGTGTGCGTGTGTATATGTATGTGTGTGCGTGTGTAAGTAAACGATTTTTTTCTCAACCAGAGTAAAAAAAAGAAAGAAAAAAAAAACAGTAAAAGACTTATTTCAACTAAAGAAAATGAGAAGAAAAATATTTCACTCACTTGTTTAAAGATACGAACTCTCCATTGTGAGGGAGTTTCGTTTCCCGCCAATTCCTCTCTTTGTAGTTCGTATTTTTTGTAACTCATTTTAATCCGTTTTCGTTTTTCTTCTTTTTCTCTCTCTACCTCCTTCTTCGCTCTTTGTCGTCTTCTCCTTCTTTTTGTTTTTCTTCGTCTTTTTCTACGTCTTATTTTACGTCTTCTTTTTTCTTCTTCGTCCGTCCACTTCTTTATCTTCTTCGTCGCCTTCTACTTTTCTTCTTCTCTTTATTCTTCTTCCTCTTCTTTTCCCCCTTCTTCTTCTTTTCCTTCTACTTATTATTCTTATTCTTATTCTGCTCCTTCTTATTCTTCTTCGTCTCGATAATGTGGGATTCCGGACCTAAAAGGATAATTACAAACACGTTGCACAATAATCTAAGCACAGTGATGAAATAATAATAATGATAATAATAATAATAATAATATAACAATAAATAATATAATAATGATAATAATGATAATGATAATAATGATGCTAATGATAATAATAATAATGATAATATAATGATGATGATAATAATGATTATAATAAAAA